GCTAATGAGTTCCTGCTGGGCGTGGCCAACTCGGGAGCCAGACGGAACTCCGCTCCTGTGCGTTCCTGCCCAAAAATAGCCCTGCCTTTCAGTGTAGTCGATATAAGAGGAAGGGAGTTGTCACTCAGGGGAGGACAGAGCTGTACAATGGCGGGGGGTGATTGCTGTGGAAAGGAATAATAGAACCATAGAATCACAGAGTTGGAAAGGGCCATATGGACCACCTAGTCCAGGGGTGGCCAAACCTTCTTAACGTTAAGAGTCACATAGAATAAACGTCAGATGTTTGAGAGCTGCGAGACAAACAAATCTTACACATTTTTACTGGGAAATATGCAAATTTGCTTTCTATTAACATTAAGTGAGGCTACCAAAGTAATATCAAAAGCGGTAAAAGCGGATACTGATAATGATATTTATTTGTCCAATAATATTTGTTTGCTAATGATATTTTAGGAGCTGCGGTGGCTCAAGTGGTTAAGACGCTGAACTGCAGGCTGTGGAAGGTCGGTAGTTCAGCAGTTCAAGACCCGGGTGCCGCATGATGGAGTGAGCTCCCGTCTCTAGTTCCAGCTCCTGCCAACCGAGCAGTTCGAAAGCAAGAAACTGCAAGTAGATAAATAGGGACCACTTCGGTGGGAAGGTCACAGCGTTCCGTGCGCCTTGGTGTTCAGTCATGCCAGCCACATGACCATGGAAACGTCTTCGGACAGCGCTGGCTCTTTGGCTTTGAAACGAAGATGAGCACCGCAACCCTAGAGTCGGATTCGGCTGGCTTTCGAGCAAGGAAACCTTTACCTTTACCTAATGATATTTAGCTTCCCCAGTCGCCCTGCCGGAAGCCGCACGGTATGTGAGAAAGAGCCGCATGCGGCTCTTGAGCCACAGTTTGGCCACCCCGATCTAATCCAACCCCCTGCTCAGTGCAGGATCAGCCTAGAGCATCCCTGGCAAGCATTTGTCCAGCCCCTGCTTAAAGACTGCCAGGGAGGGGGAGCTCACCACCTCCCTAGGCGGCCGATTCCACTGCTTAACAACTCTTACTGTCAAAAGATTTTTCACGATATCCAGCCGATACCTTCCCGCCTTTAATCTAAACCCATGGTCGCGAGTCCCGTCCTCTGCTCCCAACAGCTCCCTGCTCTCCTCTATGTGACAAAAACCAACTCCTCTCCTTCTAATCTGAAAAGCCAGGTTTGATTCCCCACTCCTCCTCCACCTGAAGCCTGCTGGGGGACATTGGGCCAGTTACCATTCTCTCGGGAGCCCCACCTGCCTCGCAAGGCCCCTGTTGCGTGAAGAGGAAGGGAAGGGGATGGTAAGCTGCTTTGGGACTCCTTAGGGTAGAGAAACGCGGGGTATAAAAACCAACTGTTTCATGGCACGTGTGGAGATTTGAACCTGGGTCTCCTGGATCCTAAGCGGACCCTCTTAACCACTACACCACACTGGCTCTACAGGAGCTGCAAGATATGGGCCTGCAGACACTCCGTAGCTCCCATTTCATCCTTTGTCTCATTTCCAAAGCTGATTAGCAGCAGGGTACCCCGGGGTGTGCTAAGGGTTCCAAACACTACCTACGCAAATGCCAGGAGTTTTTTTTTGGGGGGGGGGCAGTGCCTAGGGAGAGTGGAGTTCGGGAACATGTGATGTCAATTGCAGGGGATGCTCTAGGAACTTCCTTGAATCTCTGTGGTTAAGACCACAGAGACGAGGGGGAATTCCTAGAGCACCACCATGGAGGCCATTCCCCCCCCCCTCGCTCTATCTGTCTGCTAGTACTGCTTATACAGTTATCACCTTAAGCAGAAATTAGAACCAAAAAAAAATGAATAGACCTTTCTTGGTATTATTTATCTTAAAAATTGACTATTGTTGCACCTATGAATTTTGCCACCGAGAGGGTAACGAGATCATTTGTATCTGATAGTAGCCATGACGTCTGGGCTCGCACATTTAGCAATTCCGCATCCTTAAGTAAAGGGGTGACTAAATTAGCATACAACTAATTGAGTATAGGTAAAGGTAAAGGTCTCCCTTGCTCGAAAGCCAGTCGAGTCCGACTCTAGGGTTGCGGTGCTCATCTCCGTTTCAAAGCCGAAGAGCCAGCGCTGTCTGAAGACGTTTCCGTGGTCATGTGGCCGGCATGACTAAACACCAAGGCGCACGGAACGCTGTTACCTTCCCACCGAAGTGGTACCTATTTATCTACTTGCAATTTCTTGCTTTCGAACGGCTAGGTTGGCAGGAGCTGGAACTAGAGACAGGAGCTCACTCCGTCATGCGGCACACTTGGGTCTCGAACTGCTGAACTACTGACCTTCCACAGCTTGCAGTTCAGCGTCTTAACCACTTGAGCCACCGCAGCTCCCATTGAATATAGGGCACTCCATAATCGCATGTTCGATGGTTTCGATTGTATCATATGAGCATCTGCATATTCTATTAGAGTATGATACTCTATTATATCGGCCCTCCAAAACCACCGAGGGAAGAACGTTAATTTTTCCCCCCTCTCACTCTTCAGTTTCTTAAACATGAGTGACTGGGCTGGCGATGGGTGTGGGGAATTCCCCACCGGGCCTGGGCAATTGGGAAGCCTAGGATATGCGTCCAGCTAGTATCCAACCTAAGGGGCTATGGTGGCTCAAGTGGTTAAAACGCTGAACTACAGACCGGAAGTAGTTCAGCAGTTCAAGACCCGAGTGTGCCACGTGACGGAGTGAGCTCCCATCTCTGGCCCCAGCTCCTGCCAACCTAGCAGTTCAAAAGCAACAAATTGCAAGTAGATAAATAGGGACCACTTCGGTGGGAAGGTAACAGCGTTCCGTGAGCCTCGGCGTCCAGTCATGCCGGCCACATGACCACGGAAACGTCTTTGGACAGCGCTGGCTCTTCGGCTTGGAAACGGAGATGAGCACCGCACCCCTAGAGTCGGATTCGACTGGCTTTCGAGCAAGGGAAACCTTTACCTTTACCATTACTAATATCCGACCTACCAAGTCAAATGCCCGTATGCACCCAGACACGCTTCAAAGAAAACACCGGAGACCAACGAACCGTCAATGCCACCTCAAAGTCCTCCTGCTTAAAAAACTTGAGACGCGGCTCACCTCCTTGCAAAGTGTATTCCGCGACTGCTCTGCTGAAGGATCCCAGGCCAGCTCCGTTGTACGAGGCTACCTGGATCTCATACTGAGTCCAGATGATCAGGTCTTGGATCAAACAGTAGTTAATCTCCGCGCTGGTGATGTTCTTGTATTGGTACTCCCCGGGGAGGCCTGCCAGGCGGTACCTACACGGAGAAAGGTTCATTTGTTAAGGCCCAATGAATGCCAAGTGCATGACAGGACACCCCCCCAAACGGTTTCCTAAAGAAGACGTTTCCAAAGAAACTAACTTGCAACCAACTGAATCCGGCCAAACTGCTGGCCCGTTTGCATTTCATCGTCACCAAGAGGACATGTTCAGGAATACGCAAAACTCCTGTTTTATGCTGTTGCAGACAAAATGGTCCATTTTGCATCCATCTGCCCTTTGCAAGCCCTTGTCACGGGCCAGCTTGACCAGCCTGAGTCCAGTGTGGCTCCTCAGGAGTTGAGAGGAGCCGCATGCAGCCAGCTCCGAACCAGCTAAAGTTAGTGAATTAGGGATACAGGACCCTCAAGGCTCATTGCCGGCAGCTGTCCTTGACCCACTCAGGCACAGCTCTGAAGCAGCCAGTGAAGCAGAGCTACAAGAAAGTAGCCCAACAGGCTATACGGCCCTTAATTGAACAGCGAAGGGAAAAGCTCAGACAAGACTTAAGGACACGGAGGCAGAGTGCTCGCCTCTTGGCTCAGCACCAGCTGCTTAATGATAACAGTTCTGCATAAGTGCAGGAGCACCTCCAAGCAGATGGTTGTAAATCAGGCTTGTCAAGGAATGCCTATACAAATCAGACCCACAGAACTGCAGATTGTGGAAGCAACATTTCACAACATCCCTGTGAACTTTGTGACCAGAACTCTGGACTCTGCCTGCCTCCTGTGACCTTTGGACTGACCCTTGACTTTGTTTTTTTGGACCTGCCTGAACCTCAGACTGCCTTGACTCCGCTTTCCTGAACAACCCATGAATTCATAGACTTCTCCTAATCAGTATTTGCTCTAGCTCTCATGTTTTAATCTGCCTGTATTCCAGGACAGTCCTCCCCACCCCAAAAACATCTTTTCTCCACCAAGGGACATCTGTAAATTGGGCCTGAGATTTCATTCGGTACTTCAGACATGTTTAGCTCTTAAGACGTAAGGCATGATCAGATGATGGTTGAGAAACTACAGATGTGGAGTGATGGAGCTTCCTTGGAACTGGCAACTCTGGTGGGGACAGAGGAAGCTGTTTATTTCTAGGGCTGCCAACTCTGAGTATGGACATTTCCAGATATTTGGGGGTGGAGCCTGGGGAGGGCAGGGTTTCGGGAGGGAGGGACCTCAGTGGGGTATAATGCAATAGAGTCCACCCTCCAAAGGAACCATTTTCTCCAAGTGAACGATGGTCTCCATAGATCGGAGATCAGCTGTAATTCCGGGAGATCACCCGGAGATTGGCAATAAGAGAACATAAGAAAACATAAGAGAAGCCAATTTTGGATCAGGCCAGTGGCCCATCTAGTCCAACAGTGTCACACAGTGGCCAAAAATACCAGGTGCCATCAGAAGGTCCAGCAGCGGGACCAGGACACTAGAAGACCTCCCACTGTTGCCCCCCCCAAGCACCAAGAATACAGAGCATCGCTTGCCCCAGACTGAGAGTTCCTATCTATACCTTGTGGCTCATAGCCACTGATGGACCTCTGCTCCATATGTTTATCCAGTTCCCTCTTAAAGCCGTCCATGCTTGTAGCCGCCGCCACCTCCTGTGGCAGGGAATTCCATGTGTTAATCACTCTTTGGGTGAAGAAGTACTTCTTTTTATCCGTTCTAACCCGACTGCTCGGCAATTTCATGGAGTGCCCACGATTTCTTGTCTTGTGAGAAAGGGGGAAAAGTACCTCTTTCCCGTTTTAACTTAATCCAGAACTTCAGCTGTCCATGGGGGATCAATAAGCCAAGATCACCACGGGGACTGCGCTGTGCAACCCCGGCACTCATAAGCACATAAGAGAAGCCCATGTTGGATCAGGCCAAAGGCCCATCCAGTCCAACACTCTGTCTCACACAGTGGCCAAAAATACCAGGTGCCATCAGGAGGTCCACCAGTGGGGCCAGGACACTAGAAGCCCTCCCACTGTTGCCCCCCCCCCAAGCACCAAGAAGACAGAGCATTCCTAGCCTCAGAGCCCCTATCTATACCTTGTGGCTAATAGCCACTGATGGACCTCTGCTCCATATCCCTATCTAATTCCCTTTTGAAGCCGTCCATGCTTGTAGCTGCCACCACCTCCTGTGGCAGGGAATTCCATGTGTTAATCACTCTTTGGGTGAAGAAGTACTTCTTTTTATCCTTTCTAACCCGACTGCTCGGCAATTTCATTGAGTGCCCACGATTTCTTGTCTTGTGAGAAAGAGGGAAAAGTACTTCTTTCTCAACCTGCTCTATCCCATAATCTTATAAACCTCGATCATGTCACCCCTCAGCCATCGTTTCACCAAGCTAAAGAGCCCCAAGCGTTTTAACTTAATCCGGAACTTCAGCTGTCCATGGGGGATCGATAAGCCAAGATCACCATGGGGACTACGCTGTGCAACCCCAGAACTCAGGGCCCCCTACTTTTTTGGCAGGAATTCTTTCATCACTCCCACAAGTCTGCAAGTACACCATAAGAACATAAGAGAAGCCAATGTTGGATCAGGCCAACGGCCCATCCAGTCCAACACTCTGTCACACAGTGGCCAAAAACACCAGGTGCTCTCAGGAGGTCCAGCAGCGGAACCAGGATACTAGAAGACCACCCATTGTTGCCCCCCCCCAAGCACCAAGAATACAGAGCACCACTTGCCCCAGACCGAGAGTTCCTATCTATACCATCTCAGGTCTCAAATACACACACTCATAAACATATACAGATTTACAAAAAAAAACCCCAACAACAACCCCGAGATAGATGCAGGACACAAACAGAAATCAAGTTAAGTGTCTCCATGTCAGTGTTACGCCCTGCCAAAGTCAAGGCCATCAGACAAATCCCTCCAAGCACTCCGCAAGGGGGGGGGGACATACACCCTTCACATTGCAAGAAAAATAACAATGATCAAAACCAAAATGATCTTCCAAAGCCAGAGAACGTGGCTGGGGGGAGGTCGAGATAGCTTCCCCCCCCCCTTAGGAAACAAGATGCGCAGCGGCTCTTCAGAATATGCTAATCCGCCTATCAGAAACACGGAGACGGAAAACAACGGTCGGACTTGCAAATGAGGCATTATGACTCCGGGAGACGGCAAACAGAGAAATTGTTAGATTGCACTCCTATTGATCCCTGAAAGTCAGTAACTGGCGAGAGCCGCTGTGGTGGAAAGGGGGCGGGAAGCGGGGCAGGCCTCCCTAGAGAGACTGGGGAGATGGCAGGGCTAGAAAGACAATTTGAAGGATCACCTGCTCCGGCACGGAGCTGCCTGTCTACTGAGATCAGCATCCGAGGTCCTGCTCTAGGGAAATCATCGCTAACATTGCAGGGTGGGGGGAAGGCAAACGGCTACCAGAGACCCGCCCTCTTCCGTGGTGCAGAGGAAGGCCATGGTGAACCACCTCTGCTTCTCGCTTGCCTTGAGAGCCCCTCGCTGGGGTTGCCTTAAGTTGTCAGCTAAGCAGGGTCAGTACTTGGAAGGGAGGCCACCAAGGAAGACTCTGCAGAGGAAGGCCATGGCCAACCACCTCTGCTTCTCGGTTGCCTCGAAAGCCCCTTGCTGGGGTTACCTTAAGTTATAAGCTAAGCAGGGTTGGTACTTGGAAGGGAGACCACCAAGGAAGGCTCTGCAGAGGAAGGCCATGGCCAACCACCTCTGCTTCTCCTTTGCCTCGAAAGCCCCTTGCTGGGGTTGCCTTAAGTTATGAGCTAAGCAGGGTCGGTACTTGGAAGGGAGACCACCAAGGAAGGCTCTGCAGAGGAAGGCGATGGCAAACCACCTCTGCTTCTCCCTTGCCTCGAAAGCCCCTTGCTGGGGTTGCCTCAAGTTATAAGCTAGGCAGGGTCGGTACTTGGAAGGGAGACCACCAAGGAAGGCTCTGCAGAGGAAGGCGATGGCAAACCACCTCTGCTTCTCCCTTGCCTCGAAAGCCCCTTGCTGGGGTTGCCTCAAGTTATAAGCTAGGCAGGGTCGGTACTTGGAAGGGAGACCACCAAGGAAGGCTCTGCAGAGGAAGGCCATGGCCAACCACCTCTGCTTCTCCCTTGCCTCGAAAGCCCCTTGCTGGGGTCGCCTTAAGTTATAAGCTAGGCAGGGTCGGTACTTGGAAGGCGGACCTCCAAGGAAGACGCTGCAGAGGAAGGCCATAGCAAACCACCTCTGCTTCTCCCTTGCCCTGCTGAGATCCTTCCCCTCCACAAACCCCACCCTCTCCAGGCTCCACCCCCCAAAATCTCCAGGTATTTACCCCATTCTGGAACAGTCATTTGCCTGTTTCTGGAGACAGACAAAGCTCCGGCATGGAGCTGCCTGTCTACTGAGATCAACATCCGAGGTCCTGCTCTAGGGAAATCATCGCTAACATTGCAGGGTGGGGGGAAGGCAAACGGCTACCAGAGACCCGCCCTCTTCCGTGGTGCAGAGGAAGGCCATGGTGAACCACCTCTGCTTCTCACTTGCCTCGAAAGCCCCTTGCTGGGGTCGCCTTACGTTATAAGCTAAGCAGGGTCAGTACTTGGAAGGGAGACCACCAAGGAAGGCTCTGCAGAGGAAGGCCATGGCCAACCACCTCTGCTTCTCCCTTGCCCTGCTGAGATCCTTCCCCTCCACAAACCCCACCCTCTCCAGGCTCCACCCCCCAAAATCTCCAGGTATTTACCCCATTCTGGAACAGTCATTTGCCTGTTTCTGGAGACAGACAAAGTCCTGGTTGGAACGGAGACTCTCATGCCCTGGAATTAACTGATCTTCATTGAGACTGATCTTCCATTGGTTTTTGTTGTTGTTGTTGTAGTTTTGGATGGATTGTCCCGTTTTTTATATTGTCAGCTGGTTTGTAAATCATATAATTGAAAAACGGCGTATAAACATAGCGCGTGTGCATTTGTACTAAAAGGAAGAGATCTACTAGCCCCCCAGAGCTAGAGTTAATCTGCATGTTTCCCAAAAGCTCATGGGAATGCCTTTGAAAGGCTCGCCATGACCTCGGTGGTCTACAGCAGGACTGGGCTAGCAGAAAGGGGGGATGTTGGAGATGTCTGGAAGGTGCCACTCCTGAGTGCCCTTCCGAGCTTTCTTGTCTCATGGAAGGGAACTCAAAGGGCATTCAGATGCCCTCTGAGCTGTGGAACTGACACGCTCGCTGACATGTCCGTTGAATGGAAGGACTAAAAACAGGCCGGGAGCCTCCCCCTTTAAAAACAAGCAATCAGATTAATTTAATGAACTGCAGTTTAATTGCCCCCTTAAAAATTTAAATGCCCCCCCCCCACCGGAACAAAAAATTCCTGGCTACGGGCCTGGCTAGAGAGGAGTGTATTCACATGGCAAAGCTTTCTCATTTGTAACTACAAATCCACACTTAAAACCGGTAAGCCAAAGCCTTGACACAAACATTGGGCCTTCCCTCTGTCCTGTCCTTCCCTCCCCCCATCTCAGGAGAAGCCCCCCCCCCGAGATGAAGGTTTTGTGCGGCTTGTTGTTCTCTTTGCTCGTCTTGCCCACAGCGCGAACCGCGGAGCTCTCGTGCGATTGCGCCCGTTGGCTTTGTGGAAACACACTGTCCCTATAAATACAGCACACCTGCTGGGGAGAAGGAGAGTAAGAAGATGGAGGACAGTTTGGAAATGTCACGTCCCTCTGGCTCTGTTCCTTCCCCTTTGCTACGTGCTTTGACAGATATTATAACGGATGGTTCAGCACGCCTCCTGGTGTTCCGTCAGCTGGGGATGGAAAGGTGGTCTACTTCTGCGTCTCACAACCTCTGCGCCTGGCGGGCGCGACACCTTGTCAGGTAGTAGCTTTAAATATGTGACTAGAGTGTGTTGGCTCCCAAACGCCATGCTCAGGGGGAAGGCTACAGCTGGGGTGAGCATATCGCGGTTGACACTGCTGGAAGCCAACAAGATGCTTGCACTTTGTATTGGAGACGGCCCCAAAGTGACCTGCGAGACCGTCTCTTTCTTCAGTGCAAGACACACACCCCAACACACATATACACATACTTAGGTTTGCTAACCTCCAGGTGGGAAACAAACAGTAACGAAAACAACCGGGATGTTATGTTATGAAAATATATTTAGACTACTATTCTGTAGCGAATCGTATTTCTTCATCACATTATAAAAATATACGCATACACACAATGGGAGTTGCGTATCATACCATTTCACATAACAGCTTTTTCTAAGTGTGCTGCATGAATACCATTAGTTTACACGTCGACGATTCTAATCCGTGAATTAATACACGACATTCTTCCCACTTCGATGAAACCCTGAAAGAATCTGTGGGAAGTGGGAAGAATGCCGTGTGTTAATTCACGGATTAGAATTGTCGACGTGTAAACTAATGGTATTCACGCAGCACACTTAGAAAAAGCTGTTATGTGAAACGGTATTATACGCAATTCTTGTTGTGTGCATGTGTATATTTTTATAATGTCAAGGCTATTTTGGGGCAGGAACGCACAGGAATGGAGTTCCGGCTGGCTTCAGAGTTGGCCACGCCCACTACAGCCAAAACCTCTGCATGTGCGGCTACAGAAGGAAAGCCTGGAGAGCGACCCCCTGGCGACTCCAAGGCGGGCAGGCCAGGGGGCCCCTGGAAGGATTTAAATGCCTCCCCTTGCCTTATCTGGTCTCTCCAAGGGCCGGCTTGCCCGGGCTCCCCGCAGCCGCGGGGCGCCCGAGCAAGCCAAGGGAAGGCATGGGGTGTGGCCTAATATGCTAATGAGCTGTGCTGTCAGGTGTGGCCTAATATGCTAATGAATTTCTGCTGCTGGGTGTGGCCTGTTATGCTAATGAGTCCCTGCTGGGCTTTTTCCACAAAAAAAGCCCTGTATAATGTGATGAAGAAATACGATTCACTACAGAATAGTAGTCTAAATATATTTCCATAATATAACATCACGGTTGTTCTCGTTATTGTTTGCATCCTTCCCGTGATCTCTCCGTTGTTTCTACAAACCTTCAGGTGGGGGCTGGAGATATCCCCGAAAACGGCTGCTTTGGGGGGGTGGACTCTATGGCTGAGGTCCTTCCTCTCCTCCACCACTCCCCAGGCTTCACCCCCAAATCTCCAGGATTTTCCGAACCTGGAGTCGAAAACCCTACACTTGCTTGCGGTGGGACAAAGACAGGCCTACGGAGACCATTAAAAGGACAGACTTTTAATTCGGGAGGCAAATACGCACACATTTTTGATGGGGTCGTACAAACGGGCAACTGGGCAGACGCCCCAGTCCTTTTGACAAATTACAACCCGCCCGATGACCCTCCCACACCATTCAGATACCCTCCTTTTTTCATTTTTAGGTAGTCAGCTATTTGAACGTTTCCCCGTCGTGGCGCTCATCAGGCCCGCATATGAACTTGGTTTATGCTCCCTCATTAAAATCACACCTAGACTCAATTAGTTATTACCTGACGTCTGAAATTGCTATCATCCGTTAAGATCAAATCAATTGTCATAAATCACTGCCGATGAATGCATCGTCCCCACCTACCAGCGAGGGGAGCTGAACCGGGAGCCACTAAGTCTCCCGCCCCCATGAACAAAGGTGCGATTGGGGGATTGTTTTAATTCTGGGTTCTGTGCACAGATGTACGTTGACGGCCGCTACAGGTGGCATTGTGGCAGAGCGCACGGCTTGGCTCGCGAGTTTTCCAGAATAACAACAATAATAAACACCTTCGTTTCCTGCTGTACTTGCAATGAACCTGCTAATTAGTGGCTGGCACTTCCAGCCTTGGAAGACTGTTGTCTATGACTCACTTCTCAGGGGAAAGAAACCCGTCCCAATTAAACATCATACGTTATTGCATGGCTTGTTCGATACCAATCAACGGGAGGAGAAGAAGAGGAGGAGGAGGAGGGGGAGGAGGAGGAAGATTGGATTTATACCCCATCCTGCACTTAGAGTCTCAGAGCGGCTTACAAACTCCTTTCCCTTCCCCTCCCCACAACCGATACCCTGTGAGGTAGGTGGGGCTGAGAGAGCTCTTTCCAGAACTGCTCTTGAGAGAACAGCTCTGGCAGAACTACGGTTTGCCCAAGGTCATCCAGCAGGTGCAAGTGGAGGCGTGGAGAATCATACCCGGTTCTCCCATATTAGAGTCCGTGCACTTAACCACTACACCAAACTGGCTCTCAGTGGTGACCCATTTTAATGCTTTTGTCACACTATCATTTGACCGACAATGTCTCCACCTTATCCCCAGGCATGGCTCCATTTTTCACCCATTCCAGGACAACAGATGGCCACTTACCGGAGGATGTACCCGTGAAGAACCCCGTTATGCTCGCTTTCGGGAGGAGGTTGCCACTGGACCATGATAGACTGATTGGTCCGTCCACTGGCCACAATGTTCTTAGGAGGAGCACTTGGCGGTTCTTCAGGTAGCATCAATCTACGAGCAAGCAGACACGATAGCGACACATTCATTGAGATAAACAGACATTTGTTTGTGGTGTTTTGGTGGCGGTTGTTTTTGCTTAAAGGCAAAAGAGCGGCCCCTTGAGAAAGAAAGATAGCTCGGTTGCACTAGACATGCCAGAAACAGTTGCAACAAATCAACTTAATAGAAAACCAGCTAAGCAAGGAATGAGGGAGACAGCTGGGGCAACCTTGTTCTGTTTGAATCATTCCACCACAATCTGTTAAGACGGCTACAAGGTTGAATGAGTCCACGCTCCGGCCTGGAATCTGGAATTCTTTTTCAAATCGTTTCCTTTGCTCCTGCCGTTTCTTTCATATCAGATGCCTGGGCCCAGACACCACACCGTGAACGTCATCTCAAAGTTTCTTCTGCTCAATGTTCCCAGGAGGCTCAAAAAGAACGGACTGGTGCACATGAAACCCAGTGCAGTAGAGCTATCCTTCTACCATATGGATTTCAGAAGTGAAAGTTCTGGAGGAAACTACTACACAGCTAACCCGACTAGAGCAGGAATATTTTAGATATCTGTACGCTCACTTTGACCTACAAAGGAATACAGAGTTGGGCCTAGCACACCAGAAAGACCACTCCCTTTCAGTGGGACCTGCAAGTGCAGCAGAGAAGTTAATGTGAATCCATTAAAAAGACCCGTAAAGTTTAGCAAGACGTTGGGCGAAGTTTCCAGTGGCCACGGGGTGGATTTCAGTACCTTTATGGTGTTTCCCCGTCATATACCTCCACTTACCCCATCATGTCTGAGAAAACAAAACACTAGAAAACAATGCAACCAAATGTCCTGCTGGTCTTCAACCCTTCTGCTCACAGAACACATTTCTGGGATTCGGGGAGATGAAATTCCAATGAAATATGGAACGAGCTCCTGGAGGAGATCCGGGCCCTGCGGGACCTTATACAGTTTCGCAGGGCCTGCAAGATGGAGTCTTCCGTCAGGCTTTTGAGTAGGAGACGCCGCCGCCACTATTCCATCACTGAGATACCATCTTATCATCTACCCCTATTACTGGGGGGGGGGGGGGAGGTTGCCGCCCTGGCGGAGGTGGAAAAATATCACTCTTGGCGCTCACGCCATTTAATAAAACTGGCCGTCAATGTGGGATGCTGCATATCTTGGGGGATTTAATGTAGAATAGTAGAGCACCAAATTTCATTATGGATATAACATTGTTTTATTGTTTTTATTCGGCATTGCCGCTTGTCAGCCGCCCTGAGCCATTTGGGTAGGGCGGGATACAAATCCCAAATAAAACAAATAAATAAATATGAAAAGCCCTCGATGAACAGTGACTTTTGTTTGTACGGCTCTAACCAGACTAAAAAACCCCCAAGATACCCAAAAATGTGTCACCAGCCCTGTATTCACACAGGGTTGGCACGCCCACTCTCACCTGCTGGTTTCTCTGCTGTATTGGCCCTTGCCCACCTGGTTGACGGCACAGACTCGGAATTGGTAGGTGCGGGCTGGCGTTAATCCGCTCACAGTGATGCTGGTCATCTTTGGATCAATGTCGGAGAGGTGCACTTTCCACGGAGAGTCTGGGAGAGAGAAGCGGAATTTTAATTTACATGGGGACCCATCTCGGTAATGGAACCCACTGCGTAAAGAGTCAGGTCTCGATGGCGCAACGGAAAGTCAACAACGGCACCATTACTTATTTTATTTTTTATTTAATTAATTAATTCGATGTATACCCCGCCCTTCCCGCCGAAGCGGGCTCAGGGCGGCTTACATGAAAAGTTAAAATACAGTAAAACAACAATTCAATATGTAAAAAATGCATACATATTACAAATAGCAAGTCACAAATAAATACAGTTAAAGTGCTAGTGGCAGTAGCTGTAGGCCATGATCGATGCTCCCTCTAAGCTGTGGAGTCTTGTGAGCAAAATTATACTTTGTAAGCTACTGGCATTAAGGTTGTGAGTGACCGATTTGGCTACTGCATAAATTAGTTTGCTCTGGAGCCCTCCTTCCTGAGCGAAGCCAAAAATGTGTGAGCTGGAGGCTAAAAAACTGTGATCTAGCGCACACTGACTCAGCTTAGAGGGAACACTGGCCATGATGTAACAAATAAAGCGAAAAGTATGGCCAGAGGAAGTTCCTGTTGATGTCGCAGGCAGTTGCTGTTGTCATGAAGGGCCTCATCCCAGTTCAATGTTGTTGGTAGCGGCTCGAAGGCCTGGTGGAAGAGCTCCTAATCGAAGGCCTGGTGGAAGAGCTCCGTTTTGCAGGCCCTGCGGAACTGTAAAAGGTCCCACAAGGCCCTGATGTCTTCCGGGAGCTCATTCCACCAGTATGGAGCCACTACTGAGAAGGCCCTAGCCCTAGTAGAGGCCAGTGTGGGGTCTTTTGGTCCGGGTAGGGTCAAGCAGTTTTGAGACCTTGACCTCAGTGCTCTCTGGGGAACATGCGGGGAACATTCTAACCAAGAACGTCATTTCTTACTGATTACTCCTCACCCAATTGCCCTCTTCCACTGATTCATTTAACTACTGTCTTTCAGCCTCATTATCACGTGGTGTGATTCGGAGTCCCGTAGAAGGAATCGCACCACGTGAAAGGAGTCAATGCGAAGCTGTGTCTCTCTATTCATGGTCTCCAAATTAAGGCTATCCAATTGATCAGAGATTTCTTATGACTCAATCCATAAACCCATTATGCCTGGATGCTTGGACTTAAACTGATTCAGTCTTGGAGGTGCTGCCTTAATTGCTATCAAGACGGAATTGTTCCTCCCCAATTTCTGAACACATTTACTGAGCAGACGGTAGCTCGGTTTCAATCAATGAGCCTGGCTTCCAAGTAAATGTTCTTAGGATTGGGTTGTTAGTCAATTAACAGCCTCGCCTTCAACCAATTAATCAACTGATTAGGTGATTAAAGGGAGTATCAGAGGAGCTCAATATAGGGTATATTTAAAAGATGTGTAACACAGGGAACAGATCCTCTTGGTGAAACACGGATGGAAATTTATACTTTGATAAACCATCTTGGCTTGGGTGCCCATGTTTACAGCAGTGCGATCGGCAGCAACGAAAGCCTGCACATGAAATGACCAGACAATTAAAATTCACCTCTTAACCCACCTTGTTAATTATTTTAGACAGCACTGTCACATCTGCCAGTTTGGTGTAGTGGTTAGGAGCGCGGACTCTAATCTGGGAGAACCGGGTTTGATTCCCCACTCCTCCACTTGCACCTGCTGGTGTGACCTTGGGTCAGTCACAAGCTCTGGTACAGCTGTTCCTGAAAGAGCAGTTTGTGTCAGAGCTCTCTCAGCCCCACCCACCTCACAGGGTGTCTATTGTGGGGAGGGGAAGGGAAAGGAGTTTGTAAGCCGCTCTGAGACTCCAAGTGGAGGGCGGGGTATAAATCCAATCTCTTCTTCTACTTCTTACTAAATTTAAGAACCTTAATCTTCTTAAGTCTGCTTCCTTATAGCACCTCTCAATTATAGGAGGGCCCATCCTTAAGTTGCGCTTATGCTTGAACATATTTGAAAATGTAACATAAGAATAAGAATGTGTCTCTGCAGAAAACTCTTTCCAGACAACAGTTGTCTGGTGCCAGCTCAGCAGTTCTGCTTCTGTCTCTCGGCTTTTGGGGGCAGATGTATGTTGTTGTTGTTGGATTTATACCTCACCCTTCACTTGGAGGCTCAGAGTAACTTACAATCTCCTTTCCCTTCCCCTCCCCACCACAGACAACCTGTGAGATAGGCAGGGCTGAGAGAGCTCTGAGAAAACTGCTCTTGAGAGAACAGCTCTGTGAGAACTGTGACTGACCCAAGGTCACCCAGCTGGCTGCATGTAGAAGAGGAGGAGGAGGAAGAGGAAGAAGAAGAGTTGATTTTATACTCCACCCTTCACTACCCAAAGGAGACTCAGAGCGGCTTACAATCACCTTCCCTTCCTTGCCCCACAAAAGGCACCCTGTGAGGTAGGTGGGGCTGAGAAAGTTCTGAGAGAACTGTGACTGACCCAAAGTCACCCAGCGGGCTGCATGTGGAGGACAAGTGGGGAATCAAACCCAGTTCTCCAGATTAGAGTCCTGCCACTCTTAACCACTATACCAAATTGTGTATACAAATATACAGTGGTTTTATGCCCGTTTGGGCTTCTCTCCAAGAATTGTGGAAATGATAGTTTAGCAAGGGGATAAAGATTCTCTGCTACAGCTTTCCTCATAGAACTACATTTCCCAGAGTCCAAGGCAAGACTGTCCACTCTCCACAGCAACAGAGAATTCACACTGCAGGAAGGAGCTTACAAGGGAAGGAGTTCAGGGTGACTTCCACTGCCAAACAATGTGGATGTACCCCTGGTACACCAAAGAGCCTAGCAGTACCTTCTGTATCGTTTCCTACCTACTCTCTAAATCAATGCTGTCTAAAGCAGGGGTGTCAAACATGCAGCCCGGGGGCCGGACGAGGGCCCCCCCGGAGGGCTTCTATCAGGCCCGCAGTGGAACTGGCTGTCTTCTGCTTCTTATTCTTCCAGTTCTGCTGCTGCTGCATCATCGTAGGTTTGCAGCTCACAGATACACACCCGAACAGCATACTCAGGATTGCAACAGCACAGACATTTTGATGTAATCAATCAGAGCAAGAGGTGTCAGTTATCAGACACTGTTAAATAAACAAAATACTGCAAGACTTTTAAGCATGTTTTTATTTTGTTAAAAAAAAACCCTACCTTTGTGTTTGTGTCCTTTATAAAGTTTATATCTCCGCTACCTGGCATGACATTTTATGACACATGTGGCCCAGCCCGACAAGGTCTGATTTATGCCAGATCTGGCCCTCCAAACAAATGAGTTCGACACCCCTGGACCCTAAAGTGTCTGCTAGGTGCGCTAATCCTTTGGACTTGGCCATCCATCCAACAGCTCAGAGAAGAACTTCTGGGCAAAGTTTCCCTTTCGGAAAGGAGAGAGCTTTTCCCTTCTCAGCCCGCGCGGTTCGGCAGACAGAACATTTCCCTGCCGAAAAGGGATGCCGCACATGTCACTGCATAATAAATAAAAACTATATTCATTAACATTTTAATAAAGGGGGAAATGAGCATGATAAAGACAGATGGGCTGTGTGTTTCTCAACCCATCTGTTTGGCAGCCCATTACAGAACCACACCCGCCAGTGGCTCGGGCTGAAGGATCGTAATGAAATTTCACAGCTAGCCTGCAATGCCTCCCCCCCCCCCCCCTTTCAGGTACGGAGAAACAACTTTCTGAGCCATATCTGCTCAATGCAATGTTCTGCCAAGGAGTCTACATGCCTGGAATTTTTTAAAAGGGCAGAATGTGCTGCTTGAAGCAATTCTGGGTGGCCTTAGTGGAACTGGCAGGAGGCATCTCACTGCTGTGTTGCAGGTCCATCCGAAGCCCTATCTGCCTCCCCTCCATTCTGTTGGGAAAAAATGGCAAAAAATACTTAGATATTTGGAGTTTGCAATGGATCTTTGCTTCAGTGGAGAGGAGGCATTTCTTTCTGCCTAAAAATCTTTATTTCTAAAGGGAAGGGTACACAGGAAAAGCTACAAAATAAAAGATCTAAGGCTACATCTCGACAGCTACAGAAACAGACCGACCACACGGTCTCTCAACAACAACTGCCACAACAGCAATGGAGATTCTTCTTCTTCTTGACCCCTAGAAAGAAATCACCTGAATGTGTTAACCAATTATTGTGAGTAAACAGACTTAGATTTCACGGGCTTTGTTTTCATTGCCTCTGAGCCAGGTTTTCCTTCCAGGTCAGTCTGAACAATAGCATACAAGGTAAAGCAGATTAACTCTATAATGACAGAATTAGACCTTGCAACACACACTTTCATCATCCCTAACCTGTAGCTCCAGGTGCTGATGTGGGAGGGTTTGAGCCACCAAGGAGCACCTGGAAAATGTAGTCCAAGATGGCTGTAGGTGTGGGATGGAGACCAAAAAGGATGGGAAGCAGTTGGGAAGGGAAACCAGGGAGAGTGACAGGGTTGTCATCTGCCGCTGGCAACTCAGCAGGCAAACTCTGGGGGCAGGGACAGTCACATCA